TATGGGTTTTATAGGTATTTTGATCGGGTATGTGTACACGATTTTATTAATAATTTTTTTTTTGCAGGTTTCTGTAAAACTAATGTCAGTTTAGAACTGACACCATAGATGTCTGTCATCGTAAATATACAATAATATTCAATGTAAATAATGTCGGTTATTTCAATGTTAGTTAACGATCGACATTGTTCAGATAAACAATGTCAGTTGGGAACCGACATCGTAAACTACCAACATTGTAGACTACAATGTCAGTTAATTAGATGTCAGTTCAGAAACGACATCGTTTAATAACCGACATTGTTGGCTACGATGACACGCGATTCGATGTCGGTTCAGCAACCGACATCGTATATATATCATGTCAGTTCTAAACTGACATTAAAGACCAATTTTGTTGTAGTGTGAGTATCAGTAAGTAATGGTCGAACATCACCGAGGGTAGACGAATCCTCTAGAAAATAGAGACTGTTTCTCAATTTACCCCACTAATATGAACCAGCGAGCGTACCATCAAACTCTACTGAAGATACAAATTTGATGATGGTGTTAATTTCGTTTATTTCAATTTTTGTTAGGGTCTTAGCCAATTAGGCCTTAGTTTCTTTATTTTGGGTCAAGTGTTGACCTTAATACTTGTTTAATTATTTTTAGTTAGTTATTTTATTTATTTATTTATTACCAAAATAAATTAGGATTTTAGTATTTGATGCCACCTAGGTTATTTCTATTGGTAAGCTTATCATTTAAGTTGTAAGGGGATCAGTTTTAATGGAAATTTTGAGCCTTTGAGCCGTTTCTTTCAAGCCAGCCAAGAGCACTTGAATTTTGCAATCCTTGATCTAGGTTGCAAACTTGGAACATTCAAGAAGGGTTTGATCAACCTCTATTGTAGAGTGTTCAACATCGAGTAGGGAACTAGTTCTCCTTGCCTCATGGTCTTTGATCAACATGGTAACCTTCATCTAATCTTCCTTGGGATCGTGCTAAATTGATTTTGAGGGTTTTAGTGTTTGTGAATTAGGGGTTCATATACCAAAGGGTTCCTAATTCCAATTCGCTAGCATTTTCATGTCATTTGGTACCAACGCTTAGGCTCTAGATTGGGTATATCAGTGTCTTTGATTTCTATGTTATTATTATTATTATTATTATTTGTTGAGTCTAGTAGAATGACTTGTTTGATAACCATTTTAGTTTTTGGTTTTTGGTTTTTCTTATTTTTCGTTTTTTGTTTTTGGTTTTCTGTTTTTAAAAAACAAAAATCATATATGTTTAATAATGGTTTTTTGTTTTTTATTTTTAAAAAACAAAAAATCAAAAACATGTTTAGTAATCATTTTTAGTTTTTGTTTTTAAAAAGTTAGAAAGTTGAAAATACATATTAGAAAGAGAAAATTTTAGGTAAAGTAAAGATGACAATGGGGGTGGGTGCGAGTGAGGATGCTCTCCCCTATTCTCGGGCTTGTGAAAATTTTTAGTCTCTGTCTCCACCTCGTTCTTGGTCCGAGAGATGTTCTCGAGAAAAATTATCGGTTTTATAATTGTTTTTAATTATTTTTAGAATTTAAGTATTAAAAAAAGTGTAATAAATATATAATAATTATTTAAAAAATGGAATCGGGGACGGGGTCGGGGTCGAGACATGTATTTCCTATTTTTGGGACCCGACCATGCAGAAATTTTTGTCTTTCCCTAATGTAGAGACATGAAAATACAATTTAAGAGAGATGTAAATAAAATTTTAGAAGATAAATATTAGAGAGATAAATAAAAATATTTTTAAAAAATAGTGAAAGAGAAGTTAAATACAAAAAGAGAAAAATTGTAGAGAAAAAAATAAAGTCAAGAGGAAAAAGATCTGTTAAAGAAAAAAAAAAGAAATCATGAAGAAAGAGAAAAATTATAGTGAAACAAATTTAGAGATAATAACAAGATTCAAAATATAATTTTTAGAGAAAATAAATAAATACAAAGATAAATAAAAGTTACATTGAAAGAAAATTGTGTGAGAAAATAAAATATAATTTTCAGAAGAAAAAATAGATTATGAAAAGAAGGAAAAGTTATAAAAGATGAAATTCTAGAGAGAAAAAAATTAGGAAAAATATTAAATTTTTAGAGAGAGAAATGAAACTGGTTTGTTAGAAAAAAACAAAAATAGAGAAAATTTTGGAGAGAGACAAATAATAATAAATATTCAAAATATGAAAATTTTAGAAAAAGAAAAATAAAGTTTGCATAGAGAAATTTAAAACTAAAAAAATTTTAGAGTGAGAACTAAATCTTTTAGAGATAAATATGAGAAAGAAAAAAAAGTTGATTATTAGTAGAAAAAA